ATATTTACGTTAGAAAAGGACAAAAAGAAAAGTACACGGAAAAAAATTGTTCATGCCCTGGCGGATTCGATTTGCGTAATGTCTACTTAACTAAGCGGACTTTAGGTAGACATTAGGTAGACATGTAAAAAAACGTATAAAAAAGCTATTAACCCTACCGAAAGAGTGGTACTGGAATGGTACTGAATTGGACGTGGCTTGAGTTCCACTTCAGTACCACTACCTGATAACCCATAAGAAGACATTTTTAAAGTACTTTAACAATAGTTTTAAAGGTATATAAGATCAACAAACCGTCTCTCACGATATACGTGTAAAACAGCAAAAAAAAACATAATAGTTTGTAGAAAATTTCTGTTAAGTTTGAAAATTATATTGCAATCCCTCCTTGAACAATAGACCCCTAGGTCCTTTGTTGAAGGATTAAAATTTTAACCCGAGTTTTATTGCTTAAAAAATTTGTAATTTTAATAACTCAACTTTAAAAAATATATATTCAGATTCGTTAATATTTCCAGATTATGAATATCTAAAATTTATCATAAAATAATTACATTTAAAAAAGTTATAATTTATCTCGTATACCTTAAGTTTGATAAAAAAATGGACATCATTTTTGAATTTAGCTGCCAAAGGAAATATCATATGCATAATAGTGTATGAAAATAATATAAATCCATGAAAAACAAATATAATATTGAAATAAATATAAAGTTTTAGTTTAAACATATTGAAAAAGCTAGTCGCTTTTTACTTTTATGAGGGTATTAACGGTAACTCGACCCTTTTCGCAGGTAAATTTCCCAGTTCCATTTCAGTACCAAAATGCACCAAATTAGTACTGAGTTGGTACTGAGATCTCAGTTCCAATTTCCCAGTACCAATCCAGTACCACCCTTCCGGTAGGGAATCGACTTATTATGATAAAAAAAAGTTGATAAAAGGGTAAATAAATGTTTATAGAGTAAATTCGTACAAAATTTGTAATTAATAAAGCAATAAATAATTAATAATGAATGGAAATGTGCGCGAGGTACCTGATCAGTTCAGCTGTACAATTATTTTCGTGCTATTTTCATGAAAAGAATATAAATTAACTGCAAAAACAATTGATATTTATAAAAAAGTGTAAAATTGATTTAATTTTATTGTTTGCAATACGAATTATTAAATAATAATTAAGTTTTTATCAAATGTGAATAGTGTTGTGAAAACCTGTGAAAACTAATGAGTTACTACATTACCGATCGCATATGATAATAAAAAGTTCTCGATGAGTGTAACAAAAAAGCTGCAATCATGTCCGTAATTTTGGACGAGAAACAATTATGAAATCAATAATTATTTGTATAACTTTATTCTGCATTTTAAAATTCACTTTTTATTTTCTTTCAAAGCAAAAGCTTGGAAGAAAACATGCTCGCACTGTATTGTAAAAACTGGTGGCGCCATCTCTCATATGCGATCGGTAATATAGTAACTCATTAGTTTTCACAGGTTTTCACAACACTATTCACATTTGATAAAAACTTAATTATTATTTAATAATTCGTATTGCAAACAATAAAATTAAATCAATTTTACACTTTTTTATAAATATCAATTGTTTTTGCAGTTAATTTATATTCTTTTCATGAAAATAGCACGAAAATAATTGTACAGCTGAACTGATCAGGTACCTCGCGCACATTTCCATTCATTATTAATTATTTATTGCTTTATTAATTACAAATTTTGTACGAATTTACTCTATAAACATTTATTTACCCTTTTATCAACTTTTTTTTATCATAATAAGTCGATTAATAGCTTTTTTATACGTTTTTTTACATGTCTACCTAATGTCTACCTAAAGTCCGCTTAGTTAAGTAGACATTACGCAAATCGAATCCGCCAGGGTGAAACTTTCGTAAACTAGTTGTTTACTTTTGGACGGGCCCAAAGTTTGGAAATCTTTCATTAACATTTAAAAAAAAAAAAAAAAAAAAGTTAATGAAAGATTTCCAAACTTTGGGACCGTCCAAAAGTGAAAAACTAGTTTATGAAAGTTTCGCGAACTATTTTTTTCCGTGTATAGGCCAGAAGGATCTTTTATGGTTTTATGGCTTTTCATTGCAAAATTAAAAATTGTTGAATTTGAAAAAAATAATTTTTAAATATTATATTTGTAATGTACATGTTAATACAATTACAACGATATAAAATTTTTTGTAAGTATTTTTAAATGATTGAAAATTAATTTTAATTAATGGAGTATTTATTGTATAATCATTATGTAATTTTAGAGTTTTTACATAATGTTTTACATCATTGGAATCGTTAAAATCTATAAATTACAAATATAACATTTAAAAAATATTTATTTAAATTTAAATAATTTTTTATTTTGCATTAAAAAGTCATAAAACCTGATGGACCCTCGAAAGGACCCTTCTATTGGAAAAAGGGAATATATAACAAAATGTAAATTGTAGTAGGTAAAAGTAAATAAGCGGTTTGAAAAAAATAAAAAAAATTGTCCTGAGGATTTCAAATACATATTTAAAAATTTTTCATAGAAATTAACTATTTAATTTTTTAATTTTTAACTATTTATAGAATTTTTTTGGATGTCTAGAATCCTGAAAAATTGAATCTTCCAAATATCTCATTTTCATATCAATAATACCAAAAATATAGAAATTTTTTTTTTAAATTTAATGGCTTTCTTAACATAAGGGCGCACTCACACCTTTTGGCTGCCTGCCTGCCTGCAGAAGTTGTCATGGCAACGTGAAGGAGTAACAGAGAGAGAAAAATCAAATTTGAATTTACTATCTCTGTTACTCCTTCAAGTTGCCATGACAACTCCTGCAGGCAGGCAGGCAGCCAAAAGGTGTGAGTGCGCCCTAATAGAGTTATATATATGGTGGGTTTGAGTGGCCTTGGTACCTCTCTTGGAACCCTTTTTACAAAAAAAAATAAAACGTAGTGAGAAATAGTCACTTTTTAGAAAACGTCATCAGGCCCATAAAAACTATTTAAGTCAAAATTAGTCAGCAGCATCACAAAACATCAAAATAGTCTCAAAACGTCAGGATTTCTGACGTTTTGAGACTGATTTCTGATTTTATTTTTAGCAGGGAATATATCGAACAGACAAAATGTCGAACAACCAATACGTCGATCGGTCAAAATGTCGAAAAGCCAAGACGTCGAACAGTCAATACATCAAACGGACAAAATATCGATAAACCAAAATATCGAAATGCCAAAACATCGAACAGCCAATAAGTCGAACTGACAAAATGTCGAAAAATTTTATTGACTTAAAACTATAATTATACTTGAGTCAATAAAATTTTTCGACATTTTGTCCGTTCGACGTATTGGCTGTTCGATGTTTTGGCTTATCGATATTTTGTCGGTTCGATGCATTGACTGTTCGACATCTTGGCTTTTCGACATTTTGTCAGTTCGACGTATTGGCTTTTCGACATTTTGCCTGTTCGACGTATTGGCTTTTCGACATTTTGTCCATTCCACATTTTGTCTGTTCCACTTATTGACCGATCGGTGAAAAGCAAGCGTCTCGTCCATTAGAAAATATTTAGCAGTATGTATACGTGAACATGACATAACAGTAAACTTTTGGAACGTATAAGGTTATTCAAGTTGGGTGGGGGAAAGCCAAGATGGATGATGGCTGGTGCACCTATCAGCCTATCAGCATTCATTCCCACGAGAAATTTCTTGTGGGAATGAATGCTGATAGGCTGATAGGTGCACCAGCCATCATCCATCTTGGCTTTCCCCCACCCAACTTGAATAACCTTATTATATTACGCCTGCGCAGATTAGCAAGAGAAGGAGAGGAATACAGAAATCAGACCTCTCTCGGTTCGCGACCATCAATTAGGCTCTGTCCAGGCCTGGCTCTGTCACTTGTGACGTCAGAGTCGATTCCAGGTGTGACGTCAGAGGCCTGGAGGGACAACAAACAGACGACACAATGTTATTCTTATGGGGAATAAAATTAATCAATTTTATTCTTACTTTAAATATGCAAAACGCTTGTTGACATATAATAAAATTAAAATGTGTGTTGATAATTAATTTTGTTATATATTTGATTCAATTGCATTTATAGATTCTCTGAATTCGTGATAAAATATAAATTTTAAGGTTAGGGGTGTTTGTTTACTAATTTGAAATCTTTTACTGCTGCGGTAATTCCCACTTAAAATATATATTTTATATCTTTTTAATAACATGCATACTGAATATTGTTTAATAATGTTGTTAAAATGTAAAATGTGATTAGTAAACAAACACCCCTAACCTCAAAATTTATATTTTATCACGAATTCAGAGAATTTATAAATGCAATTGAATCAAATATATAAAGGTACGGTCATACGACTTTTGGAAAAACCATTCTTGTCTTTCTCTCTCCTAAGGCTGCAGTCCCATGGCAGCGTTTTGCGTTGCGTTTTGTCACTAGACCCTGAGTGTAAACATAGCAAACATATATCTGCATCTCTTTTACACTCATGGTCTAGTGACAAAACGCAACGCAAAACGCTGCCATGGGACTGCAGCCTTAGACAGAGGCATAAGATTGTCTCACTCTGCATTTTCTTACATTTCCCAAAGATGGAAAATGCAGAGTGAGACAAACTTATGCGTCTGTAATAGGAGAGAGAAAGACAAGAATGGTTTTTCCAAAAGTCGTGTGACCGTACCCTAACAAAATTAATTATCAACACACATCTTAATTTTATTATATGTCAACAAGCGTTTTCCATGTTTAAAGTATGAATAAAATTGATGAAAGTGGAAACTAATTTTATTCCCCATAAGAATAACATTGTGTCGTCTGTTTGTTGTCCCTCCAGGCCTCTGACGTCATATCTTGAACTCGAAATATCTCGATGAACTGACACAGCCTAATGGCAGACTGCATTCCAGATAAATAGAATTCAGTGAACGGCCCTATAGTTCTAGTTTGATATTCGACCATCAGATGTCGCGTTATCATTTAAAACTGTCGACAACTAGTCTTCTTGAGATTTTTATACACGACAAGGTTGTAGCCATAGAAACAGTTTATTGTTGATAACCAAGTTTTTTAAATCAAAAAAATGTCATCGCAAAAGTTACAATTAAAAACAAATATGTCAGTAGAATTGGATGAGCCTTTAACAAGTGATGGGTGTTTAAAACTTATTATGGAATTTCTTAAGTATATACTTTATAATAAACAACAAATACCTTTCTCTTATGACTCGTTAGCTCAAGTTCAAGCTAAAAGTAAACCTACGGATAGAAATTTTATGAACATTGGTAATTTTTTAGACTGTTTATGTGATGTATCTAATCATTTGAATTCACAATTTTACACGGATAGATGCATAGTGAAAGAAATTATCATAATTATTGGAGCTACAATTTTTTCACCAAAGTTCTGTATAAGTATGGAACTACCGGAAAATATTCTAAATAGCAAATTACATAGCGAATATCATCATTCTTCTCGTAAACCGTTATTAAATTTAATGAGGTGAGTCATAATTAATAAATATATATATATATATATTATTAAAATTTATTTTTCTATCAATTCAAAGTACCACTTTCTTTACTTTTTCGATAATTTTTGAACAAGCAGAACACTTTTGTACTACTAATTTTGACCAGTAGTTACTAAATGCTATTTTTATAAAAAAAAACTTTCAAAATCAAAGAATACTATATTACTTCTTCATGTGAGAAGTATTGTAATTACAAAATTTTTCAAATTCAATTTTTACATTCTCATCACATGAGAAGGTATTATAATTGGTCGAAAATTGACTTTTTCTATTTCCATGAAATCTTCACGTTCTGAGGTGCCCTGAATCGAAAAATCATGGTCCGGCGAAAGTGTTTGTATGTATGTCTGTCCGTAGACACAAAATGTTGTTGACACAATAACTTTTGTAAATCGAAGCGAATAGACTTGCAACTTTGTACACACAAAGTTAGTGTCAAAATACAGGTCAAGTTCGTTAGCCTGCCATTTTCATTAAAAAATGCAAAACTACAGTATTTTAAAAATTATTAATTTTCAATTTAAAAAAAAAATAATTTTTTTTCACTACACAGCTTTAAAGTTCAGGAGACAGCAATCAACTTTTTTATGTAAAATTTTTTGATTAATATGAAATGGTAAAAGTTACAGTTGTTTAAATTGTAGAAAAATATTTAAAAAAACACCAAAAGAAGACATTTTTCATTGAAAATTAAATTTTATTAAATGGGTGGAAAAATCAGTCCATAAAATTGACACATTCTCATCACAATAGATACAGGAAATATGATACAAGTGAAGAAAATAGCAATTTGGCAAAAAACCACTGTATATACATATTATTACATTCTCATCATAAATTAGAAAGTATTCATTTTGGTCGATTTTGACTTTTTTCTAATTCCAGTGAAACTTCACGTTTTGACACCTCCTGATGCCAAAAAAATAGGTTTTGAAAAGCTGTCCGTCTGTCTATCGTCTGTAGTCTGTCTGTAGACACTTTTTTGTCTCCACGATATCTACTCTAAACGAATCGCTTTAAAATTTAGTATACTCTTTCAACATGTAAAAATGAAGCCTGAGTTCGTTGGACAGACTAATCCGCCCAAAAATTTAAAAATAATTTAAAATTTCAATTTCCAAAAATTCAATTTTTTTCAAATTAAAAAAAAAATTTTTTATTAATTTTTCCTTAAAATACTCCCAAAATTAAACTTTTTTTCCTTTAACACTTTTCGATAGAGATTAAAACAAAAAAGTTACCCAAATTTTGAAAAAAAATTAAATTTTTCAATTATTTTTTTAATTTTCTAATATTTTTTCCTTAAAATATTCCTAAAATGACACATTTTTTCTTTATAACACTTTTCAATGGAGGCTACAATAAAAAAGTTATGGATTTTTTAAGATCAAAAAATACTAATGATAAGAATGTGTCAATTTTATGGACTGATTTTTCCACCCCCTTAATAAAATTTAATTTTTAATAAAAAATGTTTTTTTTGTCTTTTTTTTGACTTTTAAACCACTGTAACTTTAACAATTTCAATTTAACCAAAAAGTTTTACTTCAAAAAGTTGATTGCTTTGGCCTGAACTATAAAGCTGTGTAGTGAAAAAAATTTTTTTTTGAAAAAATTCAAATTTAAAACTTTTTAAAATCCTGCAGTTTTTGCATTTTTTAATGAAAATGGTAGGCTAACGAAGATGACCTGTATTTTGACACTAACTTTGTGTGTGCAAAGTTGTAAGTCGATTCGCTTCGATTTACAAAAATTATTGTGTCAACAACATTTTGTGTCTACGAACAGACATACATACATTACAGACACTTTCGCCGGACCTATATTTTTCGATTTAGGGCACCTCAGAACGTGAAGATTTCATGGAAATAGAAAAAGTCAATTTTCGACAAATTATAATACCTTCTTATGTGATAAGAATGTAAAAATAAATGCTTTTTTCATTAAAATCTCAAAAACGTAAAGAGATAGAGAAAAACGTTCAATGGCAAACTTGTAGCTGATAAAATTTTTAAGAAAAAAGTCTCTAGGGTCATTACGCCAAGATGAACATATTACGAGATAATTGAGTCAGAAAGTCTGATTTTTGTGTAAAAAAATATAAATAAGGTCCGTTAACCTGGCTTGTCCACATTGTCCGATCTGGATAAAACCTATTTGAAAATTAAGGGATAATTTAATGCTAATTTAATGCCCTAATGACGAATTTAATGCTCGGCATTTTTTTTGAAAAATTTGTGAACAAGCTAGCTTAACATTAAGGTGGCTTCTCCACACAATGAAGGAACACTCTCAGAAAGATCTACTATAGGTCAAAATTTAGGGCTTTTTTAAGGCTCTTCAATGCTTTATTACCAAATTTAATGCCGGCATAATTTCGCCAAATATTTGCAAAAATTCAAGTTTTACATTACAACAGTTTGTCTAAAAACGAAGGAGTACTCGTAGGAAGGTCTCCTATTGGTCAAAATTTAGAGTTTTTTTAAGGCTCCGCAATGCACTATTGCTAAATTTAGTGCCGGCATAATTTCGCGAAATAATTGCAAAAATTCAAATTTAACGCTATCTTAGTTTGTCCACACATTGAAGGAATACTCTTAGGAAGGTCTTTTAGGTGTCAAAATTTAGGGCTTATTTAAAACTCTTAAATGCTTTTATGCCAAATTTAACACTACCTTAGCAAGTCTAAACGATTTTTTTTAAAATAAGCACTTAAGAATTACTTACTAATTTATGGCTCGTAAATAGCGCTGTATTTGATGTTTAAAAATGATCTACCAATCCCGTTGTTTTACTTTTTTTATATTTACATACATGGAAATACTACTAAAATACTTTGCAAAACGTTTTACTGATAACCTGATTACCCTTTTTGGATGACTACTCGAAATTTTTTTTTGCAAAATGTTCTTACTATTTTCAGGTATGTAAAAATAAAAAAAAGTAAAAATAATAGGTTCCAAAGTTTAAAAAAATTAATTTGTTTATTAAAAATCGTTATTTTCGATATAAAAATGTAAAAGAAATTTTTGAACTACTGAGGCGAAGTTTTTGAAGTTGGTGGATCGTTTTTGAAAATGCAATTTAGTGCTATAATAATGAGCCTTAAATTAGCCCTATATTCCAAAGTATTTGTTTTTTGTAAAAACTGAGTTTGAAGTACTCAGGGGTAGTTTTTGAAATTGGTGGATCATTTTTGAACATCTAATTCGGTGCTCGTAAAGAGCCATAAATTATCCCTAAATTCCTAAGTACTTTTTCATGAAAAAATTGAGTTTGAAATACTCATGTATAGTTTTTAAAATTAGTGGATCACTTTTGAACATTTATTTAGTTCTATTTAAGAGCCTTATATTAGCCCTAAATTCATAAGTACTTGTTTTTGGAAAACATTGTGTTTGAACTAATTATGGGTAGTTTTTAAAATTTGTGGATCAATTTTGAACATCCAATTTAGTGCTATTTATGAACCCCAAATTCTTTAGTATTTTTTTTTGAAAAAATTGAGTTTGAACTACTCAGGGGTAGTTTTTGAAATTAGTCGATCATTTTGGAACATCTAATTAAGTGCTTTTTAAGAACTCTAAATGTGTATGTGTTTGTTTTTTGAAAATATTAAGTTTGAATTATTTGAGGGTAGTTTTTTTGTTTGGTTTTCTATCAGTTACTTGGTTGGGGTGCTTGAGAGTGCATTTTTAAAAAGTCAATTTAGTGCTATTGAAGAACACTAATTTAGCTCCTAATTCCTATATGATTATTGTTTGGTTAAATCAAGTTTTAATAAATGGGGGATGTTTTTTCGAACTTAGGGGTGGTTTTTGAAAAATTTAAATAGTCTTAGTTGAGAACCCTACTTTCTAAATCTGAATTAGTAGTTTTCTACTGATGAAAGAGTGCGTATTCGTTTACCAATTGAATTAGTAACAGTTTTTACTAATTTTTAGTAAAAAACTACTAATTCATGGAGTAAATCGGCTTACTAATTTGAAATAGTAAAAAATACAATTTACTCCATAAATTAGTTGTTTTCTACTAGCAATTAGTAGTTTTTTTACTACAAATTAGTCAAAACTGTTACTAATTCAATTAGTAAACGAATACGCACACTTTCATTAGTAGAAAACTACTAATTCAGATCCAGCTTGACGTCAAGCAATACGAAGGGTTACTTTAAATATGTAAAGGGCCCTAAAGTTTTGCATGTGGTACTAAATTAGCCCTAATTGAGCCCTAAATGTTAGCATATATAAAAACTTTTTTCGTGGAAGCGGTACTTCTACACTGAGAAAAAAATACTGTTGAATCAAATAGTTCAATGCTATTGAATTTCCCGTTATTGATTCAATAACAATTTTATTGATTGAAAAGTATATTACATAAAATGAAAAAACGAAACTATTTAAATCAAAAGTATGGTAATGTAAAATTAATGCCATTGTGTAAATTGATGCTATAGTTAATCTATTTATATCAACCGAATAATTTATTAATTCTTTGACAATTTTTATTTGAAGCATCTAAAAGGTAAATTTAAAGAAAATGTGTATAAGTTTGAATCATACGAAAAATTGTTTATTTCAAAGAAGCGAGCTCCTGGAAACGAAAGCATATGCTTTTGTTTCAATGAATGGTGTTATTGCGGGCTGCCTATAGCAGATGCTAAAAAAATCGTGACACTATGCATTTGAGACATTGATACCCAACTTATTAAAACATTCTTAACTATTGTCATCAAAATAATGACATGACTTATTATTTCAATTAACTAAACTTTTAATTTATTAATCGTGTACTTTTGTTGTAATAAATGGCGTCATTGCGGGCAATCTGTATAATAGATTTTTAAATGTAACTATAAAAAGATTTTTTTCCCTTTTTCTAAAATTTTATTTATATATACTATAAAGTTTATAAATAAAAATTTATAAATTCATAAAAATTTTATTTTTTGATTAAGTTAAAAATTTTA